AAATTATTATATTTTTCCTAATTTCTCCTTTTTAGGTTTAATTTATCTATCTATTTAATAAAAAAAAACTCATGTGTGTTATTAATAATAATTTTTATTTATTAAATTAAATGATGTCCATATTTAATTATCACGTTATTTTGGTAAATACGTGACATAGTAAGACTGTTATAATAATCTTTAATAACAATTTATCATTGCTAATTATTAGAATTTAATTAGATTTTTAAATGTTGCAAAAAATTTGCCTGTCTTTTGTAAAAATCACAAAATGTTTTAGAATTATGTATTACATGACGCATCATGAGATAATATAAGGGTCTCCGTTAGACTCCGGTTTAGGTTTCTACGCGAGTATTCTATCATATGTGTGTTCATATATATGTGACTATCTTTGTGTTCGTGCTGCACAGGCCGATTTATTGATCACACGCGTCGCACGCAATAGGACGAATGTGCGTGCTCACTATATCGCAACCGTGTACGACGTCTGAAAAGTTTTATTCTATGATTTTATATGCTGTAGCTGTCTCATATGAATGCGAGAGCAAAGAAAGCGTCAGTAATTGCAGTAAATAAAAGCAGCCAATATTATCATAAAACGAAGAAGCAATTAACAAACACACGAACGTTAATTACTAAAGAGTTTTATTGGAGCTTTACAAACTTGAGAAACAAAAACTGATGCCAATTATTTCCGTGCAGAAAATTTTGATATTAATATTTGATACAAATTATTATTCAATATTTATATGTACAAATAACAATAAAAATCCTAAAGTAAATATAAGTAATATATTTATGACGTGATGATATATTTTACTGATTTTAGTTACCTGACATCTTATACACTACAAAAATATTTTAATGATTTGAATCGTTAAAGTATAATATTATTTACAAATAAATATATAAAATGTAAATATATTTGTAATATTTATAATAAACAACAAATATATAATACTATATACCATACAAATATCTCTGTCAGTGTCTGTTTATTTTAAGATTTTATGTTATTTCTTTATAAACATTTCAATTTGGAATAATAATGTATTACAAATATTTATTAAAAATACAAATAAAATACATAATTTATATATAAAAGTAAAACTGTATAATAATGAGAAACGTATTTATATGCATATTCCATTGCAATATAGAAATACTATTGGAGTAACTTTTTTAATCACGTGTTTTTGAACTGGACTTATATAAGAAAAATGTTGTGTCAATAAATTACTAAAAATTTAAGAATCTAGAATACATTTTTGTATAAAATATATTGAAAGTGTAAAATATATTTAAAAAATTTTACTGCTTCAAATTTGATTTTATTAAAATTTTTTGACATATCTGTGCATGATTTACATTTCTCAAAGGTTTATAGATAATGAATGATAGCAAGAAACGGTTAGATGTTTTGAAAGGTCGAATAAGCTATATTGCATAAATAACATTCTACATGTTTCTGACGTGTTTTCATTAGATGGAAGTAAAAACTATGTAAAGTAATGCAGCGTTACGACTATCGTTATCGAATCTCTAATTTCTTCTCTTGTACAATTCAGGATAATAATGTTATTTATATTAATAACGTTAGTTATATTAATTTTGTAAAATAGAACGTAACTTTTTGTACAATTTATTCTAATATCTATGAATATTAACACGAAACACAACACTGCATATGGCGAATTATACATTATTTGTGAAATGTTAATTTCCAGATGAATTAACATTTCATGATTAATGTTTGTATCATTTTCTTAATTTTAATAGTGCGTAATAAATTAGGTGCTGATATACATGCAAAGAGCAAATTAAGTAAGAAGCATTTCGGCATGGCCACTAATTTTTTTATAGTATCAGCGTGCAAAATTACACAATATGTAATAAATTATATGAAATTTTTTAAATATATACCGAATATTGCAAGCAATATTAAGAAACTTCGCTCGAGTTAGTAATGTATCTCCACAAAAAGTAAAAAAATTCAAGTTTAATTAAATCCTGACAGTTTGTATTCCATTCTGCGATTTCAATTTTTTTCTTCTATTATCTTTTATTAATATAGTTTATATTAATTTTTGCACTAAAGATGAAAAATATATTTAGATAGCTTCTTTAATTTATTTAGTTAGTAATAAAAGAACTCAAGATTGTGATATCTAGATAATAATTAATTTAAAGAACATTTTGACGTCAAGATATCGTCGTTACGTATTATTCTTAGACATTTTATTAAACAATTATAATATTCAACGTCAGTGCAACCAAATTCATTAAATATTTTTGACATCTATTTAAATTATCTTAAAATAATCCAATAGCAATTTTTATATTTATTTGCATTTATATTTTCTATGTGTATAATAAGAAAATTATCTTAAAATTATCTTAGTTATATATAATGAAATGTTAAGAAGAAAATATAGAATTACATATAAAGCAATATATAAATTCACACATAATTATTTAGAAGCACCCATGATCCAGCTTAAATCGCTGCGGCATATTGTTCTCATCGGTTTTAATGAAATGTTAAATTTTATGTGAAGTAACCGCCCTAATAGCTTTATCCGAAATACATATACCGTGAATGTCCTGAAAATGTTTAAGAAACATTCAGACGTCCTCTGAGTATTATAAGGACGCCCCCTGGAGGTCTGTGCTGTTAAGATAGAGATGTCAGTATTCGTACAAATACATACCCAGACATTAAATATGTCCAAAAAAGGCATCTTAGAAATGTCTATAAAGGACATCCTAAAAATATTTTTGTAAAATCATCTTTAAGAGGTCTTATGTCTCGATTTTGAACTTTGTGTTGTCTGGGATAGTTAATTATCAATATGAAAACAGACAGATACTGTTAATGACGAAGACAACCGCGGATGAAAGTCATGGAAATCAGGAAATCGCTGCAGGAAATTGCAACATTGCGTTTGACAAACAGGATGATTATTTGGCGTATAAAAATTGATCAGACGAAGTAGTATAAAATTACAAGTCAAAACCAGAAAAAGTTTGCAACACGTGTAGCTATGTTATCATTGTTAAATATGATTTATCATTGCTGGTCATCAATACACAGATATACATTATCAAAATCGTAATAACGTTCGTGTTTGTTTCTCTAAAAACGCGAAATTGCATATGAGTCATTTTTCATTAATCGCTATCAACTATATGCTCGATTAATCAATGATGTTTCTTCAGTATCTTCTGTGATTGGATAAAATTTTTTTAAAACTCTCTTAGTAGATTGTTCGATGCATATTGCTTTAGCATAATGAAATAATGTAAATTTTGTAATAATCTTCTTAGTCACGGTTATCGAAAATATATATTGGAATAATATATAAGCCGAAATCTTACGAAATTGGAAAATCCGTCTGGACATCAGTACATTTGGTAATAACTTTGCGTAAGATATAAATTTCGTAACAAAAAAGCCATTGGCAATTACTTTCCAGCATTAAATAATGTTGTAAATATCTTTAATGATCAATTACTGTGAATATTAAGAAACAAGATAAGCAAAGTGCTTTATGAGTTTATCCTTATATTGGTAAATTTATCATAGTAAATACGTGTAACGGAAAAGGAAACAAAATATGTTGTCAAATAAATTCTCGCAAAATGTTATTCTGTACAAAAATGTGATTCAAATTAAATAGAAATTGCATATGTCCAATAAGTTTTAATAATAACACTAACAAGCTCGAGCACTTCTAATTACAAGGTTACAAAAAGAAAATGATCATAAAATTTCATATACAAATTAGTAACATAATTGATCTGATCATCTGACATTGCTTATAACATGTCCTGTAATAGACAACTCGCCAAAAACAATCGTTAATTTGCGATATTTGGCAAAAATAAATTTACGGAAACCCTTGACCGCGATTTGACAGATTGCCAAAAGGATAAATGTTTACTTAAACATGGCCGAGCGTGAATCATCCAGACCGACACCGCAAATTTCAATAAAATTATTACGCTCTATCCGCGTGATGTGTCTCTCAACCAAGAAAGTTTTGCTAAATGCGCGAGAATCGCGGTATATTTTCCTAAAGAATTGTATCACTTCGCACGAGTACCGTTCACGACCGCAAAACACATAAGCTCAACTATAAAAGCGCGCACGTCGAACAACGAGTAGGACGGCGCAATTAATGGCGTGGGCCGTGGTCGATCGTGCAATTAACTTTAACGAACGGGCGGCCTTGCGATTAAACTTAATTAGTATCGCAGTAATAACTCGTTAATAATCAGAACCGTGTACAGAACCGTGGCCCTGCGTGTGTGCATCAACGTGCACGTGCACGAGCGCGCATTGTCGTTCTTCAAGCAGGCTAGTGTCTTTTCTAGACACTTGCGTACATGTGCACGTGTGTGTGAGTGGTATTGTTCAGGCGTGTTTGTTGTGCGTTTAGAAGAGTGTATGTGTGGGTGGATCTCATATTTACGCGACGACGACGTGACAAGAAGAACGACGCTACACAATTTCGACGTTGGAGAAACGGAGTACCGACTACAGAAAGCGATGGTTTCCGTAGAACACAAGCTGGCAGTAACAATATTATAATTTCGCACTCAACAGTGTAAATGTAATGTAACACATGTTGTATGCAATAGTTACTTTGTTGGGTGGAAAATTATAACATTGATACAATGTTACTGACGTTACTGTTAATTTGTGTTCCATGGATTTTAGCAAGAAACGTTAACCTCACAAAAAAAAAAAAAAAACAAGACGCCAGCCTCTCATGAAACAAAGAAATCAAAAAACGTCAACTAATGTGAGCGCACATTTAAAACACACACACCCACACACACACATCAATCAGAAAAAATTAGAGATTATAAAATAAAATAAAAGCGGCACTTATAGTATGTTTATACTGATAATATCTATAATTTTGATATAGCACATATTTTCCTTCGATCTGTCGCACACGAGTTTGTAAAATTAGCATAGTAATGATTACCTTCGTTCTGGTATCTTTGGTATCTCTGTAGTTAGTATTTTTCTCTGGTATGGTCTAGTCGCACTAGGAGTTGAAAATAATAATGAAAGAAGAGTCCCTTCGTCCTGGTATGAGCGACATGTGGAGATTGATTGGAGCAAGATGGGGATCTATAACGAATTACGTGTAACTGACAGGTAGAATGACTTCGTCGTGCGTAGTTATCTATGAGGCACTGTGTTTCTTTTCATTTTCTTCGTTGCGCGCCTCGCTCAGCACCACTATTTCCGAAGCTTCTCTCTCTCTCTCTCTCTCTCTCTCTCTCTTGCTCGACGACACTCGACTTGTCCCCTCAGAAGCGCGACATACGAACCGCGAAGCCGCGCACGATGCTACGCGTGTAAAGATCAATGAATCGCATTGAAACGCGCGTACGTCGTTCTCTCGCGTAGTTGCACGTAGAACGAGAATTTACGGAACAGTCCAACCGGAGACGAGAGAGTAACATAAGTAAAAACATGTACACTACCGTCCTTTTTTCCATCCGGTGATGAACATCACGAGTAAGGCGGATTGTAAAGCACGAACCTGATTGCGGGGCGGCCCGGCGAATTATGGCTCTCTTTACGCTTTCGGCGGCTGCTCCGTTCCCTCTACTGCTCATGCCCACCTCCCATCACCCCTCTGTACACTTCTGTGCTCTCATATGATCCCCACTCGTAGAAGTCCTCCCCACCGCGCATTCCTACCATTAGGTCTGTACCTGATATCTCCCCCACTACGAGCATGAGTGAGAGAGAAAGAGAGGAGGTGGAGATTCAGAACGTTGGCACCTTGCGACGTAACTTGGGGATGTTGATCGCTGAGGAAACGCGCGAGCGTACTTTACATCTTCCGGTTGCGAGATTTTAGCGTAAGAATCATTTTTGGTGCGTCGCGGAAGTTGTCACTTTGATGAGATAGGAAGTTTATATTTTGTCATGGAAACTCTTTTCGTCTATCGCGTCTTCTAATAAATCTTTGATGTCAAGATCAATCATTTTTGAAGCAAAAAAATTATGATAAAGCTTCAAAAACTTGAGAAATAAAAATTAATGTTAATTAATTCTATGTAGATAATATAATATTGATATTTATATTTGTCACAAATTTTTATCCAATATTTAGAATTGCGCAGTTTTAATTCTTTCTTAAATTTTTTTTTTTTTTAAACTGACATTTGTAGATAATGTGTAACAAAGCTAGCGTATAATTTCTGTTATATAGAATAAGGAAGTATTTAGAGAATCTTAACGTAAAAATATATCATATTACCTAATTAATCAAAATAATTTTATTCAATTATGAAAACGAAATAGTACATAGAGAAAACATAAAAATAGAACTACAATTTCATGAAACAAAAATTGAGTAATGGAAATATTATATTATAACTGTAATGCTACTCCAAAATTTCTCTTCGTATACAATTAACTAATTAATCCCAGTTACCAGATTTAACATTGTAACTTCTATAAATTTTTAATATTAACACGAATCCGTCTTTATTCTCGGAACGACTAAAGCGTGGATCAGGAAGATATGGATATTATAGTTCTTACTTAGATATTTCTGTGCTAGATTTGAGATGACGAAAATAAGTAACTAATAAAGACACCTTTAATGTCAAAGTTTCGGAATAGTAAGTAATCGATATCGGCAACGAGAATATTTTCTCAGAATTAGCAATCTTGTTCTAAAACAAATTCTTTACATAAGCACATTCGTCGTGATTTCTTCATCGCGTTTTTTTTTTTCGTTTTGGTAAATAATGGAATTTCTATAAACTATTGTTATCGCGCGAAATTCAGAACAACATTAATAATTTAAATAATGTATGTACAATCATGTTTCAAACAGAACATAATGCTAATTAATTATTTCTGTATATATATTTCTTATATATGTATATTTATGGAATATTAAATGAAACAATTATAAAGCACATATTATTTCTTTTATAACTACCGATATTTAATGCTGGCTTCGATTGATAGTTTCTGAAAAAGGAATAGCTATTTCAGTTATTGTTTTCATTTCTGTAGATCTAACAAAATATTTCTTTGTATGTATATCATCATAATATAAATTAAGAGAAAAACTGCGAAAAATGAAAATTATAAAATTTCGATAAATTAAAATTATGAAGATACAATTGCATTTAGGAAATAAAACATTATGAGAAATTCTAAACAATTCTTGTGTCCTCTATTTTTTAAAAATGTAACTTTTCAAATGTACCTGGAAAATTTCAGGGTAAAAATGGAGTTAGATTTGAATAGCGTCTTGACCATTAAGAGAATTGTCCAATCATATCCCAGATATATTCTGCAAAACGACAATTTTATGTTTACAGTTGTTAATCTCTTGTTCTTTAGGTTTGTCAGTAGATGTGTCAATACTACAATACTGTCGCCACTTTTCAAAGTCAGGTCTCTTCTCAGCAGGCCTATTCTGTGACTCTTAACGCAAGTTTTGTTATCGTCATAATACTATTGGGCAGATATTTTACCATAATAAAAAAGCTATGCTGCAGCGTATAACGATAATGAATTTTGGTAGGAATTACAGAACAGGCATGCATGTCATTATCCCTTAAAGGAAGCCTTTACAATTCCTACAGTTGTATAGTTAGGAAATATTGAGGTGCATTGTACAATACCAATGCACCCCAATATTTCCAAATGTCCTGTACACTTGGGATTAACAATCTGGGATAAGTACGTGTATATAAAAGAAGCACATCAATTGTTTAATAAATTTATGTCTTGTTTTTTTATGTTAGAAATGACATCATTCCTCTCTCTCTCTCTCTCTCTCTCTCTCTCTCTCTCTCTCTCTCTCTCTCTCTCTATGCCAAAAATATATTTATATATCATACGTTTATAATTTGTATAAGATATGTATAGAGTAAAAAAATATAAAGGTTGTTGCCAGTAGACTACTGAAAAGTTAGGCACTGATCATCGGTAGTCTCTTAGCAGTCAATGCTGTTAATCAGCATTCATTATGTTAGTGCTAATTGACTTATCAGGAGACACGGTAGTGTCTCCTGCCATGTTCAAAAAACTACTACTTTAATTTAAATTAAAAGATTAATAAAACATTATCAAGTCAACAAATTCTATAGAGAGAGTAAAAAAGGAATTTATGTTTTGGATTCCAACTAAACTTTTTTTCTTTTTTCAGAAAAAACTGCTTTTGTTTTAATAGTTTAAAAATATTGAACGTATTGAATGTAATTTGCAATTATATAAAACCAGTTATACATATATATGTATATATATATATATATACACACACATAAGTATATAAATATAACTATATTAATAAAAATATATACATATATTATATATGTATATATGTATATTTTGTAGCGTAGCGCGCTACGTATTTATCTTCTTTATATTATTATATATTTTCCACAGAAACTAATTCATATCCGATATTTTTCACCCACGGTTATTTATTTATAAAATTTAAAAGCGTAGTTTTTACGAATCATATAAAATATTTTTAATATGTAAAAAATAGTTGCAGATTAGTATCAAACGTGGCAGTAATTTTTCTGTGTCTCCCCAAACATTTTGCCATTGATGTACACACGTTCTAGATGCAGTAGTCAGCATGTGACGCCAACAGCATACTCTCTCTCTCTCTCTCTCTCTCTCTCTCTCTCT